TCTGGTGAGGGTATGGCACAAAGATCAGGATGTCGTTCAGGAGTGATTATGGGGGCTATGAGATCATCTAAATGATGGGGAAACTAGGGATTAGATGTTGTGAAAATAGTTTGAAAGTAGTGCAGGAATTGATTACCCATAGACTCCCTCTCTATGGCCCATGTTCCATTTGGAAGCTTCAAGCAATCGATTGAGTTCCTTCTACCTCTGATAACTGTGGTATTGTGAAAGAATTTGGTACGGGCAGCTCCTTCTTTCATTCATTGAATTCTTTATTTTTGTTTCCACTTCTCCTCCTCCTTTTTGAGTTGTTCATTAAGATCATGTTGCAAGATTTTCTCCTCCACTACATTGTCTTCAGTTGGTTTAGGTTGTTGTAGGTAATCAATTCTGCTCCTCAATGCCTTTGCCTTTTGGGTACAGTTTCCAAGTACTTCCCTATTCCAATGCTTTAATGCTTCTTTAGTTACTTGTAGCTTCCTGCAAAACTTGTATGCTACTGATCCTCTTCTGTTAGTTTTCCATGAGTATTTGACCACATGATGACTATTAGGGTCCCTTATCCATATCTTCTCAAATTTAAAAGGTTTGTGAAAGGGTTTTAAGGATTCCATATGTGTTCAGTAAGAGGGGGGAATGGTCAGAAGAAATAGTTGCTAGATGTCTGATGGCAGAATGTGGAAATAGCATTCTCCAACCAAGTGTGACTAGTCCTCTGTCCAATCTTTCCTTGATGTTAGCAAGGTCTTAACATTTATTGGACCAAGTGAAAGGATTGTCGTGATAGCCAATGTTAACTAATCCTTGGTCATTAATGAAAGAACCAAAGCCACCACTTGATGGGGATGTGAATGATTTACCCCCTCTTCTCCTCCTGAGAGATCACATTGTCGAAATTTCCTATAAACATACTTGGTCATAGGCTATTTGTGAGTATTTGATTCATTGAGTCCTAGAGAGCAGACTGAAGTCTTTTGTTTGCTAGAGCATATATGCAGTTAAGCAACCAACTTGAATCCGGAGAATCCGAAGAAATCACAGCTGATATGATGATCTAGTTTGCAAGTAACACTTCAAGCTCAACATCTTTCCTCCAACACAAATATATTTTGCCAGATAGACCTTTAACACTCTATATCTCAAAATTTGTGGAACCCAAGGGTGAGCAAAGTTTTTTTGGTTTTTTTTTTGAAGAAATTTTAGTTTTCAAAAGGAAGATGAAATTTGGGTGATACTCCTTTATGTGAGCCTTCAAGTGGCAAATTGTTGAGGCATGACCCAGACCTCGACAATTCCATATGTATCCTATCATGGTAGGGGGCCATGTCAAGCTGCCTCCTCAGCCATTGAGATGGTTTCCTCTATAACATGAACTTGGGTCTCTTTATGGATAGCTTTGCTAATGTGCGTTGTTTCCTTGATGATTCTCTCACATTTGAACTTCATGTATGGTTTCCTTTGAAGATGATGGGTAGGGTGAGTGGGTGAGTTTTGATGTTGATCAATTTTGTCTTTAACATTGGGTTTGTTTGGTTCAGAAAGCTGGTGAAGGTCAACCATCTTCTATTCTTTTAACCTTGCTCACCTTACTCTCTGAGAACATAGTTGCAACACATCGTTTGAGGGATAGCAACTTGAACACATAGGTCATGCAATTATCTACTATTGCTTCAAAGCCCAATAGGGGTAAGGTTTTTGATAGTAGCCAAAATAGGGGATCTAGAATTTACCTCTGTAATTGAAGCATTATAGTCGTGAATTTGGGGGTTAATTTGGTTCGTGATTTTGTAGTTTATTGGGTTTGGTTTGTGTGGTTTTGGGCTTAAACTGTTTTGGTACTTAAGGTCCAAGTTGTCTGGGGTTTAGTTTGTCTTATTGGATGGAAGATTAGGTAATGGGCTTTATTGGTTAATGATGTCCTTAGTTGTGCTTAAGTATGTATCTGTATATTGGGCTTGGGTACAAGGGGGGTTCTCATCTGGCTAAGTGATCTCTGGTCAAAATTGGTGTTATAGGGTTTGATAGTTAAGAGTTATTTTGCATTTTGTTGGGGTTTCGAGAAAATCAACGTAATGATCCCCATAGCCATATGATAGAAATAGTAGGGTCATTTGTACTTGTGTTCATTCCACAATCATGCTATCCTCTTCCAGCCATCCGTGTGTTCCTAAAAATGGTGCGAGGTTCATTACTGATTTCATCTACCTCTTCTAGTAACGGTTTCCAAGTTGTCTAACGAGTGGGTTGGGGGTACCGTTTTCTCTTACGCCGTCTGCATCACTTCTCTACTTTGGCTTCCGGCTAGTGTAGGGGTCTCCACAATCTATTTGGCTATCGCCCGGAGGTGAGGTTCGTATTGAATCTAGTCTAATTGAGATGGAGATTTCATATAGTATGATCTATCATGACCCAAACGTCCACAATTGTAGCAAAAGTCACTCAAACGTCCATTAGATTGGTTATAATAGAAGAAGGTTACCAAAGGTTGTTTTAAATCTATTAAAACTCTAGTCATCAGATAGCTCTTCCAATTTGATTTTGGCTTAAGTTTGTTCTGATACTCTGTTGGGTGCCGCAAAGCTTCGGCGATGATAAGAGCATTTTCCTCCGTTATCATATCAGGAGAGGCATGAGCTATTGGGGGATTACAAGGGGCCTTTTTTGGGAGCATTGACATTATAGAGAATTCCAATAGAATGTTTCGATGGTATTGTAATACCCAATAAAGGGTATTGAAGGAAGAAGGAAGGATGGGTGACCTTCACGAGTTTATCGCCTTTATGGGGAAGGAGGGATCTTTACTCCTAGTGAGTGAGTCTCAATGTCTTTTAGGGTTAATTGCACCAGAGATTCCCATAATATGAGATTTGTCTTATTTTTATGTCTAATATTTCAATTGCATCATTTTAGTTTCTAAAGTATTGAATATGTTTCTATATGGTCCTTCAAGCAGACAATGTCCAAATTGTTAATAATTTGTTATCATAAACTTGTCACGTAATACTTAAATATGCACAAAAAATAATTCTGGTAACTCTTAAATAAAATTTAGGTAGCGTTTGACAAAACAATGTGTAATATGGGTAGTTTTTGACTAAAATTTGAATAGTTCATGATCAAAACTGTGTAATTTAGATAGCTATTTAATCAAAATTTGAGTAAAAATTTAGTTAATAGTTATCCAAATTATTTTTTTGTCCATATTTAAGTATCACGTGACAAATTTTATGATAAAATAGTTAGCAATCTGGACGCTTTACTTGAAGGATCATATAAAAACATATTCAATACTTCAGAGATCAAAATAATTCAATTGAAATATTAAAGATCAAAATGAGACAAACTCCATACTTTTTCTTCATCATTTCAAAGTTTCGTCTTCTCTTCTAACTCGACAGAAATTGCTCAATTGAACGCATTGGTTTCGTCTTCTCTTTTTAATCTTCTCTTTTTTTTGGTGAATCGAATTCTTTTTAAAAACAATGTAATAACATAAATGTGACAAAGTACTCAAAAATAAGGTAACAACATATTAAATAATATAACAAGTTATTCACAAATAATATGATAACATATTAAAAAAATGTGAAAAGGTACTCAAAAATAATGTAGCAACATATTAAACAATGTGACAAGTTATTCAAAAATAATGAGACAAAATATTAAAAAAATGTGGCATGATAGTTCTAATATAAGAACTATATATATATATATATATATATAAGAGAGAGAGAGAGAGAAAAAGAGAATAGCACGATCATAAAAGTTTTGCACCATAACCTCTTTTGGAAACTTTTTATGTAAACTATTAAATCTTTATCTAACGGTTACAGACTATAGGAGTCCAAAACTTAATGCAAAGACCTATCAAGTTTTGCTTTTAACTAAAAATGAAATTTCAATGACATATTAATTATAATTCAATTCCTATGAAGCAAATCTACTTATCTTTTTTTTAAAATTATATATTTAGAGATTGTGGCCATTTACTTTAGGAAAATCTACTTATCCTTTTTTTAAATTATATCCTTAGAGATTGTAACCATTTACCATAAATATTCATTACTAGGGATAACCTGTGTCTCAAAACACTGTTTAACGTAAATCAACCGATTAATTTGGACAAGTGAAGAGTGAAGATTCCAAAGAGAGAAAGAATGAAGAGTGGAGAAAAGAAAGTAAAATTCAATGTGAAAGGTTTTAATAGAAATGTTAATGACCGTTAGATTAGTTTATTTAAGTCTGTCAAATAGATTTATTAAAACTTGTTTTGTTTTATATTATAAAGTCGTATCGCCCCTAACTTTATGCCATTCCCAACGCAGAAGACATGGACAAACTCACCGCACTTACATGGTATCTAGGCTATTAATCGAATAGAAGACAAGATGTAAACATCCATTGTTCACCCGGTCATAGATGCAATTTTGGACTTATCCCAAGCCCAAATGTACCACCCAAATACGGGATTAGAGAACCCTTGCATACAATTAGCTTCTGTTTGTTTTTTAACCGGACATAAAATTAGTTTAATACTATGATTTTATCGCCAAACCAAACACGTTTCAATGCATATATAGCAAATTTACCTCAAACCAAACACACATATACCCTCTGAAAAATAGCTAATGACCTCACCAAGAAAGTTTCCGATGAAGGACTAGACAGGGTAAAGTATATAGCCTGCCTAAACTCCAAGCTGCACAAAAATAATAATCTAACCAGTACGTAAACACACATATTTAATGTACATTCCATTTTAGGTAACATCAGAAGCAGAAAAAGAGTACTTAATGGAATGCTTCTTTAGACTGGAACCATTATGAATGTAAAATGTAATACAGTTTGAACAGTGTTGCACCAATGGATTTTCCTTCGTTCTTCTCAAATTTCTTTTTGGGTAGCACAGAATATGAGGGAGCAACAAAGCCACCGGGAAGGGCCAAGCAATTTGAAAAATAGAGGGTTTTGGGACTCTTTTCAAGCATGAGCAATCTCTGTTAAGCGTCATCCATTTTTCTCATAGCTTCCTCAGTTTCCTCATAGGCTTCATTTGTCAGAGAGTTCATCTGATTTCCCTGACTTCTGGCAAAAAGGTCAATGCTCCCTATTTGAAACCGTGAAGTTGCCTGCTTATCTCGAACTGCTAGAAAACTCAACCTGCAATTTGTAATGGGCCAATTCCAATAAAGATTAGCCTGAACCCAGATTGCAAATGAATTCTAATAATGACTTACCTGAATGCATTTGATAGGACACCTTGTGATTGGATCTCAAATGTTTTCCGCTGGAAACGTTTTGTAAACATCTGAGAAGTTTGTTTATCCAAAACACGCCAGGTGGAACCCCCATCATCACTTCCTTCAACCACCCTAAAACCAAATGTTACTTAATGTTAAATTAAAAACTTAATCAATAATACAAAGGTATAAAACAAGAAACCTACACATACAATGTAGATCATGAACCAACAATTGCCGATTTCAAAATAAGGTCAGAGGAAAATTAATTTCACTTAGTGTCCACCTGCTTAGAAAGAAAAAAAAAGACTACTTTCTTGCATGCATGGTTAGAATGAAGTTTTTTAAAGAAACTACGACAAAAAAATGTAGTTACTAGTAACTAGGTTATCCTTACACATTTTGAACAAAATAATAGACTAGAAATATAAAGTTTTTTCTGTTTTGTATATCAATAGAGAAAGTCATCATCACCATATAAATGTATCAAACCTGCCTAAAACACTAAATAAATTAATTCCAATATGAATTAAACATCATCATCTTACATTGGGAAAAGAAACCATCATCACAGTCAGCCATTGTTTAGAATTTTTTGAAAGTGATTCCAGGTTAGAATTGACTAAAGTCTTGTCTATTTCATTGAAACACCATCTTTTCCTTCGCTGAAATCAGTTGAGGAAGTGAATTGTTACAGTGAGGGTGATGTTACAGTGAGGGTGATATATGCAGGTGTTGGAGGTCTTCCTCAACTTCTCTTCAGAACTTCTTAGTGTTGCTTTAAGGGAATGCACTTTGAGGCACCGATTCAAGTGAGTTTTGAGAAGATGTTGAAGTGGCGATGTACGGCAGCAACAATCTTGATTGGGGACTTTCTTGTGGCAAAGTTGATGGCTGTGATTTTTAGGCATTTTTTAAGGTTGTTTGTTGGGGTTCTCTAGATGATTTTTGGACACCATTTTTTTTGCAGTCTTGTGGTCTTGTTTTCCACAGAACATGCTGATAGAGAGATATTGTGCCGCGAAGGAGACATTAATAAAAGAATCTGAAAGTTCAAGCCACCCTATGAGAAGGGGTGTGAAGAAAGAAAACCATGACAAAAGTGGGAAGTGAAAAGATCACCACCGACATTCACGGGGAAAGGGAGATTTTAGCATACTTTTTTAAGGAAATCAAAGTCAAGTTTATGTGCATATATGGATCATACAGGAACTTTATTATCTTGCATTTTCCACTTTCTTTGTTTTTTTAATCTTTCACTTCCTACAATTCTCTTACTAAACAATCAAACCCTTAAGAACAAAAACATATTTTCAGTTTATTTTTGCAACGGAAATTATTAACACCCTTGTGGTATAACAAAATTACAAGGGTATCCTCATTTGTAAAATAACACTGACACCCCTTGTTATCCCCCTAGCAACGTGAACAGATATCAATTCTTTTACCAAATTGCCCTCTATTTGTTCTTTATCGAAAAAGCTTTGCCCTCCCCTTAGACAACTCTAACAAGCAAACTAATTTATCCTCTTCAAGGTCAGATCTCACTTGCGAAAAGTATTTGAATCTCATCTCTCTCTCCCCCCTTCCTCCTCCCTCTCACTGAATAAATATTCAATGTAACATAACACCACTTTATCACGTCACTAAGAAAAAATTAAAAATAAGTAAAGTGAACCTATTAATCCAATGTGTTGATAATCTGGTGGTTATTGGTAGTTAATAGAACAGTGGAGTTCATTTTGCCCACTTGTAATGACACCACGTAATAATAATATGATATTATTATTACATTAAATATTTTCTCCTCTCACCCGTAGCACCGTTGCATCTACACTACCAAACACCTGTATGCCCATATAGGGTCCCAAAGCATATCACTAGTAGTAAACACACGTGCATGGTGGATCAGGACCGAAATTTGGGGAGTGGATGGTGGCAAAGCTTTGTCAATCATAAAAGGTGCCAGGAGTAAAAGGAGATAAAGACGAACTGAGATCATAGCCTGGCCTTTGCTTTAGTATTAAGCGTCGGCCTTTTGGCAGTTTTGACCCTTTGGACAATTAATTTTATACCGGTTTAATGTGTATAAGTGCAAAATGAGTAGCTTATGGAAAAAATTTTGTTCACATCATCCCTTTCTTCGTCATCTTTCATGGTCAGTCAGGGCAGAAGTACTTTCTAAATTCAAAACCAAAACTACAGTGAGTGTAGTGTTACTTCAAAAAATGAGAGTACCCCTTGAAATTTTGACAGAGCAACTGTGCACACATGCCAAAAATTAGGAGTCACATCAGATTTTTTTTATTTGGTTTTGTTTTCCGGGTGGGTGCTTGAGGACTACGAAAAGTAGGCTCCATTAGGTATGAGTCAGTAACCTTGATTCCTCACCACAGAATCCCAAATTTTGGCGTCTGTATTGATGCATCTGCAGTACTGGCAATACAAACAACTAGAGTGTTAAGCGGCCCATCGAAAAACGAGAATAATTGTGAAGGGATCATCTAGTCTCAATTCCTAACAGATTTCAGCAAGGTTAGTTTTCAAATCAGCTCATTACTAGTCTAGATGTAAGAATGATGATCTCATATATTAAGAAAAACACTAAGTTCCCATAAAAATGCTCCTGTAGAATGCTTCAGATAAAACTAATATCCATTAAAAACTTCTGCAAGATTTTTTATTGGTAAGTATGAATTTTGTTGATGCTAACCTAATTAACGTGATTGTAACAGCTTCTTGTAGTGCCTGGGCAGCTTGGTGCTTAGAGACTGATATGCCCTTTGATAGTTATCAAAATCATACGATTCACAACTCGATTCGTACAATTCGATTCGATATAGGTACAAAATAATTCGTATCTTATATGAGAATCGTTTTAGAGTTGAATCGCACCTAATTCGTACGATTCGATTCGTATCTAACGAATCGCACGATTCAATCACTTTTTTTTAAAATCCAAATTTTTGGTAAAACGACGTAGTTTTGTCCGCTAAACAGTAAAACGACGTCATGTTGTTTACATAAGAATCCACTCCCTAATAAAACTCTTTGATCATTCTTTCTCCAACGTTGTCTAAAGCTTGTCTCGCATTGTCTAAAGTTCGTCTTACGTTGTCTAAAGCTAAAGGTCACGGCTAACGCTCTCGTATCATCGATTAAATTTATAATTCCGATTTATGATACGAATCGCAATTTGACAACTATGCCTTTGAGTTAAATCCAGTTGGACTGTTAGTATAAAGTTTCTATAGAAACACTAAAACTAAAAAGGAAAATTGTATTTAAAATATTAATCAATAAATAGTTTGTGATCAAATAATGCAAAGCATGCAAGCAAGGAATGGGTCAGTTCAAAAATTTTGTACGGAGCATGCGTTAGAACTTACTGGAGACAAACTTAACAAGCCGCTGGCCAGTGTTTTCTTTTAAAAAAACAAGGAGTAAATGAAATATGGGATTTCTGTATGCCACTAGACGGGCCGTATTTGCAATTCATGGGTCTTCAGTTGGGTCACATTTTCTGTGGAGTTTTTTGGTGGTCTAATAGTAGTTGCAGTCAAAGCAGCTGCAGTTTTCTATTTTTGAGTCGTGGCCATAGTAGCAACAGGGAGGTAAAGAGACAGCCCAGTGGAAAACGCCTGTCCTCCCAAGCAAGATATGTGGGTTCGATCCTCACCTCCCCCCTCCCTGGGAAAAAATTGTGAGGTTCTTATTAGGACCCTCCCAAAAGGAGAAACACAAGTAATAGGACAAGTCTACCTGCCAACATACACACACCACTTTTGATCTCGATAGAGGAGATACAAATTTGGGAAAAACTTCTCTAAGACTAAATCTATGTTTACTCAATCACTTAGGCTGTATCAATGTTTTTTATTTATTTTCTTTAAAACTAAATCCTCGTATTCGCAAATTTACAATTTTTTCTAGGCCAAGCTCTACAAGCTGAACTCTATTTTTTTCATTCACTTTTTTGCTGGCTTCTTAGTAACTTGGTTTGTTTTATCATTTCTATTGAATCTTTGAATATCTCAATTGCACAAACGCGATCCTCAGGTCAAGAATGAGAGACAAGAAAGATAAATAAAAGTATGCCCCTACTTTTCCTTCTTCTCAGATTATATCCCCGACTGGAGAGAAATTATATGTAATTCAGGCTACAAAAATAAATCGTCATGCGAAGTTATGTTTCAGCACAAGAAGCATTTATTTGGCTGCAGGGCACATATGGGTACACACTTATCTAATAAAAAAACAAGAAAAAAAATTAGTGGTAAAGCAACAGGATCCAAGTAAGGAAGCGTTATGTGACAAAATAATTTCAATGGTAGGTCTGGCTGGAGTTAATAGATGCTGATAGACCTTACAATATTGATTAGGCCTCAAAGGATTTAGACGAAAAGTAGAGTGCCACCGATAAGAGAGCAATCTTTTGCAAAGGATTCATAATTAATTTTGGTGTCGTTTTACCTAGAGGACCAATATATAGAAGCATAAATATGATTATACAAAATCTCAACCGCCTCATACTGAAACTTCTGAAACAAGAATCATTTAGCATACAAAAATCTTCCACATTCTAGGTGATCAAAACAAAATCAAACAAGAAAAAGAACCGAAACAAAAACCACCACCTACCAAGCATGGAAACTGTTGAAGTATGTTAAACAACCATCTACTCTAAAAACTTACGCGTTAGAGAGGGTGTAACTTAAGTATTTATATTTCAACAAAAATAAACTAGGCATATTCCGTAAGATTATAGCTCAATTGTAGTTATGCAAACAAGGCAAACATAACACTGAATCACCCAAATATAAAGGGGTTAGAACCAATAGATGACTTAACAAAGCCAGTATCACTTATCTCTCTCTCCCCCTCTCACAATCGAAAACATCATCTTCCTCCACCTGTGAAGCATGGATACCTCACCAAGGTCGGAGTATCCATATCAAGTACGTATCCAATACGATTACCCTTTGAATATGGCCACAACCGTATCGGATACAGCCACATACGTCTAAAACATTTTGAAAATACTTCTAGTTTTGAATACACTAGGGATACAACGATATACGACTGATATGTTTACAATATGCGGGTATACGCCATGACTAAACATAGGATTTATTTTATTTTTTCAAAATTGGTCATCAAAGTAGATAAAAATATTTTGGAATATAAAATTGATAAATTTCCAATATTTTGATATTTAGATTAGTTATCGATTCAACTATCTTAATAATGAGATTTATATACGTTTTGGAGAGTTAAGATATATGATTGTCAATTTGATATGCCTCATACTATCTAATACCTTTTGAGATAGATTTACTTGCATCTCAGATAGATTTGCTTGCATGACTATTAGTTATTTCTTGTTTCACTCAACTCATCAAAATCTTTATCCCAACTATTTGGGTCAGTTGCAATTGCATGAATCCTGCTCTACCAAGGTCCATAATTTCAGATAAACGAAGCTATTATATCATTTTTTTTTACTATTTCGTTCAAAGTTAATTTTGACTTATCTCTACCTCACGCATTAGCATCCATGTGTACCAAATCACTCTTTCTCATTAGTGAAATACTCGATTTTCTATAAATATGTCCAAACCATTTAAGTCGATTCCCTCTTAACTTATCACCTATTAGCGTTACTTTTATAGTTTCACGAATATATTTATTCCTAATTTTGTCTTTTCTATTTTTACCACACTTCCATCTTAGAAAAGTATGTGAAATATAACAATTGATTAATATTTTTGCATCCATATCTATATCTATATCCTATTTTAGATTTTGCAATATCCCTACATCTGTATCGTGTTGTACCTGCATTGCTTACTTATATCCATCCATGCTTCCCAGTTCTCCATTTTACCATGTTCCAAGCATATTCTATGAAAGAGTTGGTCACAATTAATCAGCACTAAAGCAGTATACTGTCTTGTATGATCATGGTAGATTGGAGATTGAAGCATCATCTTCAGAATACAAGTCTCTCTCAACTGCTTCTGCTTCTGCTTCATTCCCGTCACGTTCTTCAAGCGCAGAAACCACTTGAGATGCAAGATTTTTTCAACAATCTCTAGTTATAGAGGATAGAAGAGTAGAAAGAGCGGGCTCTGAAGTAATGTTTCTTCGTGACAGCACCTTCAACAGGAAAATGTTCCTGCCTAGTCAGAACTCAAAATAGCAATTTGTACATATGCTCATGTGAACACAAGGAAATGAAAAGTAGTTCATTTAAAAAGATTCATATGATTACCTCATACCACTTCCTCGTGTAACGTTTAGTGACATCATAGACTCCATCTTTTGCAATAGCAATAATATAATTCAAATCTTTTTTCCAGCTTCAGAAGAAGTGCAAAAATAATCAAGTAGTGCACAAATAATTCCCCATGCTCAAATATTGAGATCTATGAAGCAAGGACATAGAATGGGAAACAGATACCCAACAATATAGGCACACAAAAAGATTGCATATGCCAATATATGTGTGTGCAATTCTCATACTCACATTTTGACTGACAATCGCTTTAAAGAATCCATCAGATATTTTAAATTTGTAAAACTAAAAAAACACATGACAAGCCCAAGGTTTATGTAGTGTACACATGGACTTGGTACCAAAGTTTTTGCAATTTAATTTTATCGTCTAATTATTCTTCTCCCCTAAGATACAAAGGTTGCCTTCTATGTTCAAGATATGTTGATGCATATATCAACCTATCCAAGAAATACTGTTTAGAGTGTTGAAGGAGTATCCTTATCCCATACAAATGTGCTCACAAAAGAAGTATCCATGCTTTATAGATCAAGGTCACGGGGATAATTCAAGAAACAATTGTCAATGTGAAAGAGGAAGTACCCTGTCTCATATAATAGCGGTCTGTCATATATGCCTTCACATGGATCAAGATGCATCCACCTGCAAAGTTTGGCAACATCAATAGAGTTCCTGAAGTATTGTGCCGAATGTACTATGAGAAACTGGTGAAAACACTTTACCTTCCCAAGAAAGGGGAGAAGCACTCCGTCCAAACATGATCTGTGAAATCCACGACCTGGGATGAAAATCAAATGAATGAACAGATACATGTAAGCACATAAAAAATTCACCTACACATCCTAGGGCTGCCTTTGGGTGAGAATCGATTGTCTTCATCTTTTTGGGATACAACAAATGAAAGAGTGGGTAAAAGACTTGATGATCAGAAGAGAGATTTCACACCCAAAATGAGTAGGTTAACATTGGTGCAGTAAATCTTAGCTGGTATTCCCACATACCTTTTGTTGTTATGTAAGACGTAATGGAAGATTGCAATGAAACTTGAAAAAATTGTGGAAAGGATGAGGTGAGAGGAGGAAGAATCACTTAATTGGTTAGGGGGTGGTTTTTAGAATTAGAGACAAATGTGATCTTTCAAATGGAAATTTGAAGGTAATAAATATTGCTCGAGTAGGTAAGTCGCTTTGAAGGTTTCCCTTGGAA